CTGCTGCTGCTGCTACTACTGCTGCTACTACTGCTACTGCTACTGCTACTGCTGCTGCTGCTGCTGCTGCCGCTACTTACGCTGATGCTGCTGCTGTCATTGCTGTCTAATGGCATGCGAAACAATTAGTGGAGGTTTGAGTGATGAGTTTGTGTGTGATAGCGATTGTTTTCTAGCTAGCGAGCAGTCGGGCGGACATCGGAACGTGTGTATGTCTACGCGCGCGTGCGTGTGCACGTGTGTGTGTGCGCGCGTGCGTGCGTGCGTGCGTGCGTGCGTGCGTGCGTGCGTGTCTCTACGTCTGTGTTTATATGCGTACGTATGTGCAATGATGCGTGTGAACGAGCGAGCGATCGTGCGTGTATGCGCGCGTGTGTACATGCGTGCGTGCGTGAATGCGGACGCGTGCGTGCGTGAATGCATTCCGAGGACTGTTCGTTGAACTGCACGCCGTGCGGTTTTTTGGTGGGGAGGAGCGGTCGTGTCAGCGGATCCCCGCAGACGGAGCGTGCGCTGTCATGATGTTCTGCTCTGCGGCGTCGCACGTCCTGTTTCCGGGTGCGCTGAACAACAAAGAACGCGATGACATCAGGGGTAGATGATGATGATAGCGCCGATTATTGTCTCCCGATGATGACATGCACTGTTCCTCCAATGGTACAGCCAAATCTTAATAATGCATACCAAACGGATGCATGTACTGCATGCAGCTTGAAAAAGTGTACAGTGTATATAAGATTTCTTGTGACAGTGTACTTGAAATGAGAAAACTTGATTGTTATCACACGTGTGTATATATATATATAATATGCATGGAAGTTATGGCTTTGATGCCACACTGGTTAGGATTACCTCAAGGGTATAACTATATAAGCCTTCATTCCCTCGTGTCCCTGGGTGCAATTACTAGACCACCAATTCTAACCAAAGGTCACGAAGCTACTTCAGTGTAAGTGGCAAGTACCAAGATGATTTGAATTAGCTCGGACATGCAGAACATCGAAGGCACGTATTTGCACCGAGAATGCTTTTGATCGCTGTTCGAGTTTCAAGTTGTTTGTACTCGTGAGCAAACAACTGGTATCTGTTGTACACGTTTAATACCAGAATATTGATCATGATTTCCACCTGTGTTTGATAAATAATTAATCAGTGTGTTTTACATGTTTGCGGCAGAAAAAACGATAAATATATATTGCGAAAGCGTGTTTTAAAATAGCGTGTGTCGTTTTGCCAAATTTACGGACCACATGTAGTTTAGGTTTACAGTTGCCCCAACGTCAGTGATTGAGTTACTTATGTCGTGCCAAAAATAACCATGCACAAGTGAATTCTTAGCTGCTGGTAGTGCAGCTATGTCGATCACATCTGTTGCTGGCTGTGCATTATGCAGTAGAGTTTCCGTGTCTGCTGTGAGTGTGTGTGGAAGAGTCAAGGATAGTAGCTCGATGCTGTCCCAGAGTCGAGTAACGTGATGATAAACGTAGTGATCTTAAATCGAATGCAGCCGATTATTAGCAGATTAAAGACTGGATCTTGACACGTACTAGCTGCGTGCTGTAGTACTTACGAAGACGGAAGCATTGTGACCTTGTAACGACTTCATGTTTTTAACTAAATGAGTAAAGCCCCCTATTCTTTTACGTTGGAAAGGAGAGGAGCAATTCGATGATCCATTTTTGTCTTAATATAAAATAAAATTTAGACTAGCTTTAAAAAGCTGGCAATTGGATCATCAGCAGCATGATGACGGTACGTGTTGCCTTGTCAGTATTTGCCCTATTTAAGAACTCCTTGTTAATTGTTAATTGTTAATTGTTAATTGGGTAAATAGGGTACCATGTAATCTAACATGTGTATGATCATATGGCATCTTTATCGTTAAATATCGAAGGGTAGACCAATTGACTTTCCTCACCATTGCAGGATAATGTGCACGAGTGTGCTGATGCTGCGTGTACTGTAATGCATACATGTGTCATGTGTTTTAATATAGCGCAGTGCTCGGGGTGCTGTGGAGAGGAATCATGCGAGTCATGCTAAGTCATGCGTGGATGGTTGGGCGGGCGGGCGAGGGAGGCCCGCGGTGTAGAGTGTACACGACTAGTTCCGGGGCAGGTTACGCATAGTTATGGCATGCATGCATGTGGGCAGAAATGATGTTTCTTTATGGCTACTCAGAATATACCAAGAATCGCTCTAGTTTTCATCGCTGCATTTTGCGACTGCATGTCGCAAACTAATAGAGCTCTAGAATATTTTTTATCGAAAAACTAAGACTCTGGAACAAAGCTTTTGGACTAAGCCATTCGGTCAATTTAAGTCAAATCCGTCGCAGTCGCATGTTTAACGCGGTTCTGAAGTAAAAGTTAGTAGCTGAGTTGGTAGTTTGTGATGTTCTCTGTGTAAAATGTTGCATGTAAACTTTGCATCTAGAATATTACACACAGGGTGTTCTGTGTAGAGTGTTGGATGCAATTTTCCATCTAGAGCGTTGCATGTACAGTTTAGGTACCCCATGTAGAGAGTTACGTTTAGAGTGTGGTCCTCAAACTGCCGAACTTTGTCGTCGGTAGATCGAGTGTAAATATTGTCTGTATATAGTTTTTAAAATTGTGTCTGTAGAGTGTAGATGTTGCCTGTAGAGTGTAGATGTTGCCTGTAGAGTGTAGATAGTGTCTGCATGTAGTGTATATAGTATCTGTAGAGTGTAGATGTTTTCTGTACATAGAAAACATAGAAAAATTTAGATGTTGCCTGTAATGTGTAGTCTGTAGAGTTTAGATGAGCACTGTGTGCAGAGTGTTGCTTGAAGCAGTGTTAATCTAGCTCCACTGTCTTCCTTTGAAATGGCCGATAACGTAGAACGCAGTGTTTCCCCTGCATTGACATGGGCGAGACAGGCCGCCCCCCGGGAGGCCGCCTCGCTCAAATTCTCAGCCGCCGCACAAAAATTTATCTAAAACACCGCCTCGCTGACGAAAATCTCATACAATGTGTTCAGAATAGCTTAGAATACACCAAATTGCACCATTTTTTCAAAAATTGAAAATTGAAATTGAAAATCATTTTTTCAAATTTCCCCGGACCCCACTAGCTGGGACCTCACTAGCTAGGACCCCACTAGCTAGGACCTCACTAGCTAGGACCCCACTAGCTAGGACCTCGCAAACACACCAAAACAAAACTGATCACCTCACAGACCTTTTTGGCCAGGGGAAACACTAGAATGTGGTCTCTCCAGCTACTAGTACTAACGATTTCACTGCTTCTGTCTGACGCATTCCATCGCAAGGGAACTTGCAGTAAGGAGTTGGCAATAATAAAACGCTAACAGGTGTACCTACTGTATGCTCAAAACTCTCTGCTACATACTTTTCTTGTATCTCTGTATTGGCTTAGTATAATCCCCGTTGTTCGGCGCACGTTTTATGAGTATAATATAATCCTTCCTAGTCTGACGGCACATTCGGCTCCCGTAGTGAGGTCGGACGTTTTAGCTGTCGCCGTGAATCATTGTACACACAGCTCTTGGGTGTGTGTGTGGTGGTGGGGTGGGGGCGAGGTGGGGGGTTGTTGAGATGCGATAGTTCAATTACCTTGTCTGAACAGCTTCGGGGGAGAGTTTCCTCTGGTATGTGCGATAGTTGTCTGCATGGTCAACTCTCAGTTCCTGCTGTTACTTAAACCGTATATATATATATCTGGGGTTCGGCATAATAGAAAGATCTTGTTAGGGTAACAGGGGTAGTGGAGTTTAGGTAAGGTAATGCTTTAATAGTGGCTTCACTGCAACAGTGGGAACCTCGTGCACGTGGGTACGAATACTGATTTGTATCTCCGCAAGAGCGTATTAAAAGTACATACTTTTAAATACGCTTTTGATCTCAGGGATTGACCGAATTCAAAAGTCCATGTAGCCAAACCAATAAAGTTGATTTCCAGCAACACACAATTGGTCTATATTGGGATATATGTAACGACTTATATGATCATCGAAAATTGGTAAATACTACAAATTAAAATATATAAATTTAGGTTTTATTTTTGATTTACAATATTTCCACTTGACTAATTTGTTACGGACTGTGTGGGGGGATGTACAGATGGGCAACTGGGCACGGGCAGTTCAAGCGTCGTGACCAGTGTGAAACGGCAACAAATCTGTGTTCGTGGCCTACACCTCTATTGAAGAGACACAGATCTTTATATAAAGGACATTTTTTTGTATTTCTCTTGAGTGATCCTTGTGCAGTGTGTACAGTTTAGGATCAAAACTTTTGATTCTCTTTGAATGCCTCTTAAATATACAGTGAAACCACCTTTATAGAACGGACACCTGTATGTAGCTTTAGGGCACTCTTGGTATTTCCTTTGAGTGGCAGATACAAAGTGAATTAAAAAGACACAGGTCTGTTTAATCAAGGAAACTTTTGGGGGAATTATCAAGAGTGACCCTTCAGGTTCGATTGTATCTAAACTGCAAACGACGAACTTCTTGGTGAACAGCATGAAACGTACTGGTCATCGTTCTATGTTCTTTATGTTCTATGTTCAATGCAAAATTTTATACCCATTGGCAGCAAGTGATGATCGAAGCCCACCAAGCCCACATGGGGAAGTGCGGTGGATCTGCATCTCCTAGACACTTACATATACAGGAAACCTCTGCTTGACTAGACTATGTTTCTATTGCAGTGGGCAGGTTTGCAATAGGTTGCCCTTGAGTGACCTCTACATATATACTTGCATGTTTCCTTTAAGCAGTCACATATAGATAGTCACATAGATACAGCTAGGGCTTGGTGGTGAGCAGTGTGCCCGGTACCATGTTACTATGTTTGTGTATGTGTTTCTATATTACAGTATACCGGTATGTGTATATTACCGGTACCATGTGTTTCTATATTACAGAAGGCAGGTTTCCTTACGCACACGTACTGTTCCTATGTTACAGAAGGCAGGTTTCCTTACGCACACGTACTGTTCCTATATTACAGAAGGCAGGCTTCCCAGGTTTCCGCACCAAGGACGGCATGCTGGACCCGTTCGGTGATGGGGACTTCAGCATTCCCGTCTACCACGAGCAGGCGAGGCCGCGCGCGCAGAACGCAGAGCCCGAACAGCCCGTGGGAACGCCACCTGCCGGGCCGGGCGTCGGTACCTCACTGCCGCGGGTAAGTCTCGCGCTCGCTGAGCTGTGCGATCGTGCGACCTGCGTCGCTGAAAAGGGTAGAGAGAGACGTAGAGAGATGGGGAGATAGAGGAGAGAAAGAGAGAGTGAGAGTGAGAGAGAGAGAGAGAAGGGGGAGAGGAGAGGGGAGAGAGAGAGAGAGAGAGAGCAGAGAGCCCGAGAGCGCAGAGCTCGACCCGAGAGCGAGAGCGAGAGAGAGCAGATGCTTACCTACATGTACCCAGGCTAGCGGTCCTGTGCACAGTATTCGATGCAGGTTCTTGGTAAAACGGGACAGTCCTGGAATATTTCAATCTGTATTTTCCAGGTTCTGGAAAGGCCTGCGAATATAATCTTATTAGGCGCGTTCACACTGGCGGAATTAGCGGGATGCAAATCTCGGTTTTTGCATGCGCGATCGAAATACCGAGATTTTTACAAGTGTGAACGCAAAAATTCCACTAAGTATCTGCGATCAGCATCGCGCTCCAAATCGCACTTTCGGCTGCGATTATTTGGAATTAGCGCGATTTTTGCACCGCGGCGTGTGTGGAACGCTCGCGAAAATAATCCCGGTATTTTATATCCTCATTCCAGCGAGATCGCTATCAACATCCGCAGTGAGCATGACACGTTCGATTAATAGAATTATCCCGCTCGGCGATTAGCGAGATATTTCCGCCTGTGTAGAACAAACACAATTATCTCGGGTATTTTCCATCGCGATTAGCCTCGCGGGTTTTCTTGTGTGTGAATACGCCTATTATTGCGTTCGATCATTGAAAAGAACTTGAAATTGATCTGTGATGTCTATATTGTTAGAAACACATGAAATTTGACTTCAGTGGTTTCTAATTGTGGATAATAGATTGAATGATACAAGGCATGAAGATTTGTATTTGGCTGAATCTTGCAGTTGTTGGCAATCGCTAAATTAAGGCGACCTTATTACTACGGTCCTGGAGAATTCATGGAATACTCAGTGTTTCGTTGTCTGTCACGACATTGCAATGTTACGACTGTAGTTAGCACTATGATAATACTTACGACTTATAATATGGCATGAAGGACGATTGATGGAATACGTCGTACCTGCGTGCTATCTTTGAATAACAGGAATATGTTACTTTCTGTCAAAACGCCGCTGATTGCTTGTCAATTTTGATCACATACTCTACTTAGCATACATATGGATGTAATATTATGTGAGTACGAGGTTGTCATCGTGTGTAAGTAATAACTGCAGTGAGAAATGGCATGAGAACGTATTTATTTCGCGCTGGAAGGCGTGGTATGGCAGACTAGTGAAAAATACCGGGGGCTCGGGCGATTTAGCCCCCGAAATGCAAAAAGGGCCCGCGAAATGCCAAAAAGAGCCCGTAAATTTGCATAGAGTTCAATGCAAAACAAATTTTAGAGTGCTATATTTCATCCACGCGAGGCTGTGAAAGTAGCCCCCGAAAAATAAATTATATTTTTTTCCCTGGGCAAGACGCAAGCATCGTGACTCATCAAAACGTCGGAAACAAGAAAGCAATCGCCATGTAATTTAGACGCACACGTACACGGTGTACGTTCACCATGGAATGTTTGTTTTTGATGTGCGCATCGGGAAATTGGTTTTGTTTAGTAATATAATAGTAGCAATATATAAAAGTAATGTTGTTTAACTTTTTGTTCTTTAGTAATAACTTGTTAATTGTGCGAGCTACCTAGATGGTATTGGATTATTCGTAGACATGCTGCAAGTTTTCATTCTCGTAACTTTACGATGTTTCTGTCAACGGTCTATGATAAAAAGCGTACAACTACCACGACTAAAATGCTACGACTAGAATGTTTCTGATAATGACCGCCAGGAAAATGTTTTGTGAAATACGTTTTTTAAAATGTTTGAAAATGTGTACGAACAATCATCTCTTCCCTGTGCATCGGCAGGGTTGCCTCCAGCGGCTTGCTGTGTGGGTGGAGCCTGCCTGTCTGTATGAGACGAGATTAGGATACTACGTTCTCGCTATACTTAGGGCATTACGCTGCAATTGGTGCGGCGTCGTCGTCGCTGTTTTTCTACTTCTCGAAAAATTTTGGTCGAGCCGACAGTGAAGCGTGAAAAATTTCGGCGAGTAACCCTGACACATCGCCGTGGAAGCCGTGCTGTTAGGTTTGCAGATCGAGCGTGACAATAATAGACGTTGCTCGCTGCTGCTGCTCTTTTTATGATTTGGACGTTTGCCTGACACAGTATAATATCTGGATTTCGTCACACGCGGTGTGGTATAGTGGTTGCGGGCGACAAGGTGTGGGGCAAGCGTAGCCAGCCTGAAGCTGTGTAGAGTAGCTAACCACTGAAGCGAGAAATATTTATGATTATACAGCACGCGCCTGCAGCTCATCAGTACACGATGTACCAGCGGGAAGTATTTTACAGTTTCTTACGTGATTCAATGACGTACATTCCTCTTAAAACCTGTTTTTATACATTGTATTTATGCGTACATATGATTGCAATGAATAATTCATCTGTTTACATGTAATATGCATTAATAATAATTATGCATATATGTATATAATCAAGAGCTAATAGGTATTATTACCTCTTGCGTATAATGTCGTAGCGAGTTTTCTCTCGAAAACTGTGAAGCTTTCTCAAAAACCTGTGTGTTCAAAAACCTTTCTCCGACTCTGTGTTCATGGAGCCAATGACCTAGAGGTTGGCTGAAGAATCGATTTGTGCGAATACCATGTTAGAACGCAAGGATAGGAGGGCCCTGCGATTTATTCTCCGATTGTCGAGGAATAAAGCATAATAACATAAGCGCCTTTCCAATGTCAGACAGAACTGAGACTTGGCTGAGCTTGTGTCAGACTGGCCTTTTCTCAGCTTTCGCGCTATACGCATTTTCTAATTTGGTTTCTCAAACGTGCGTACAGATAGCTCTAGGTTTATCAGTATTCTACAATATTTAGGCTCTATTCCAGAGCTGATAGACCTTTTTGGGCTGCGCCGGTTCATTTCAACAACTGCTGTATGAACAATCGTTACGTTTCAGCTTATTGGGAACGCATCAATAAAAATAGTAGCTACGAGTATTGTGTTTTTTTAATCTAAACCACGTCACACCGTAATCTCACAGCCCGGTAGCTAAAAAAAATATGTGCTAACTTTCTTCTGTTGGTGCAGTGTACTTTGAAAAGGGCCCACGTGTTTTAACCCATGGGACCCGGTGTCAGAAAAATTTATCTCGTAATGTTGACCTTAGTCGTAACTTTTCTAATGTGTTTTCTAATGTACTTACATTATCGTCGCAGTCACTATGTTTTCAAAACAACGAGCCCTGGCTTATTTCGTGCAGAGAGAGAAGAGAGAGGATGCGTATTGTTTGTTAATGTGAGGAGTGAGAGTGAGAGTGCGTAAGCTATGTGTGGTTAAAGCCCCATCGTGACCGTTTCGTGTATTCTGACCTCACATATCATGGTTAAAACTAACATACATGGTAAAATAATCATTTGTCGTTCGCGTGGGCTGACAGCTCATGCCGCAGGTTGTAGTCCGAACGAACGACTATTACTCATCGGTAGAGCTATACTGCTGTTGCTGCTGCTGCTTGCTCCTATTAGTTATATAGTACTCAACTGGCTGCTCTGCTGCTGCATGCCTGCTACTACTACTATCGAGCTACTTAACTGCTTGGCTGCTCACTACTACTATCTACGTACATACGTACTACTGCTGCTGCTGCTGCCGCTGCTACTACTGCTGCTTACTGCCTACTGCTACGCCTATGCTGCGGCTGCGCTGCGCTGCTGCCGCTACTTAAGTCGTGCTGCTGCTGTCATTGCTGTCTAAATGCATGCGAAACAATTAGTGGAGGTTTGAATGATGATTTGTGTGTGATAGCGATTGTTTTCTAGCTAGCGAGCAGTCGGGGCGACATGGGAACGTGTGTATGTCTACGCGCGCGTGCGTGTGCACCGTGTGTGTGTGCGCGCGTGCGGGGCGTGCGTGCGGCGTGCGTGCGGTGCGTGTCTCTAGTCTGTAAATTATATGCGTACGTATGTGCAATGATGCTTGTGAACGAGCGAGCGATCGTGCGTGTATGCGCTGTGGTACGAATGCGTGCGTGCGTGAATGCGGACGCGTGCGTCGCTGAATGCATTCCGAGGACTGTTCGTTGAACTGCACGCCGTGCGGTTTGGTGGGGAGGAGCGCGTCGTGTCAGGCGGATCCCGCAGACGGAGCGTGCGCCTGTCATGATGTTCTACTTCTGCGGCGTCGCACGTCCCTGTTTCCGGTGGCGTAACAACAAAGAACGCGATGACATCAGGGGTAGATGATGATGATAGCGCCGATTATTGTCTCCCGATGATGACATGCACTGTTTCTCCGCTCATCCAGCTTTACTTGCGTGGCTCTTCGTTCCGTAACGGTGGCCGCTGCTGCTGTTGTTGTTGTTGTTGATGTTGATGTGGGTGTTTTTGTTGTTCCTAGCGCTGCCGTTGTTTCTGTTGCTGCTGTTGCTGTCGATGTCGGTGTTGTTGTTGTTGCTAGCGCTGCCGTTGTTTCTGTTGCTGCTGTTGTTGATGTGGGTGTTGTTGTTGTTTCTAGCGCTGCCGTTGTTTCTGTTGCTGCTGTTGTTGATGTGGGTGTTTTGTGTTTCTTAGCGGCTGCCGTTGTTTTCTGTTGCTGCTGTTGCTGTGTGTCGCGATGTTGTGTTGTTGTTGCTAGCGCTGCCTGTTACGTTGCTGGTCTGTTGCTGCTGTTGTTGATGTGGGTGTTGTTGTTGTTCCTAGCGCTGCCGTTGTTTCTGTTGCTGCTGTTGCTGTTGATGTCGGTGTTATTGTTGTTGCTAGCACTGTCGTTGTTTCTGTTGCTGCTGTTGTTGTAGTTCCTATTGCTGTAGCGGAGCGTAGCGCTACTGGTCTTTCAGCTTAGCGCGTGTACACGTACGATTATTATTTGCGTGATCATTCATTCGTAGTGGAGAGTAATCAGTAGTGATGTCA